GTTCTGTGTAAGTTGGATCTTGAGGAATCAAGATGAATAATGAAAAGGGGGTAGGAGGGGCAGTAGGGCTACATCGTTGAAGGCTTGTGGTTACCAAAACCTTCACGTGCTCTTGTGTTGCACTGCCCAGAACCAGAGCGATGAGCCATGGCGGTTCTTACACACTTGAAACGTGGCTAGTTCACATTAAGATGTGTGTGAGATGGGTGTGGCAAGTAGATCGACAACAGTGTTTGAAGACTTAGTGTGGAAATAAGACTAAAAAGAATGCTATGCTTCCAGAGTAGTATCTTGGATGTATTGGAAATATTGTTAAAAATAATTTTATTTGGGAGCGCCTAGGTGGCTCACTCAGTTGGTTAAGCATCCGACTCTTGGTTTTGGCCCAGGTCATGATCTCATGGTTCTTGAGATTGAGGTCCGCATCGGGCTCTATGCTGATGGCGTGGAGCCTGCTTGGGATTCTCTCTCCCTCTCTCTTTGTCCATCCCCCACTTGTGCTCTATCTCTCTCTCTCAAATAAAGAAGTAGAAACTTAAAAAAAAAAAAGTTTTATCTGTTTTTACTTTTTAAAATGTGGCTACCAGAAAATTTAAATTATGTGGCTTGCAGTATTTTCTATTATTACTATTAATAATATTATTAATAATATTAATAAATAAGCTATTAATAAATAAGCTCCTCTGGCTTATTTATCCTTCCATATGGACCGTAAGGCTCATCTTAAAACAGTAAGGTAACACGATGAACCTAGTTTTACAGAGATTAAACTGGTTGTGTTGTGGTGTGCTGAGATAACTGTTTGTAGCTGAGCCCTTGCTGTGTCCTAGGCATCATCCTAGCAGCTTTATGTGTTACTAACTCAGTCTTCACAGCAAGTCTGTAAATGTAGGTACCCTTCATCTTTCAGTGGGGCTTGGGTCACAGGGAGGCAGACCTCCTGGCCCAAGGTCGACTGATAATGCCTTGGCTGTGGACCCAGGCATTTTGATAGCACAGCCACATATTGAACCATTACAAGTCACCCAGACGGTGAGTTAGAAAAAGGATGTGCTCTTTGCACACAGTAAGCACTTAGGCATTTGACAGCAAACGCATGGTAGCTGATAATTTTCTGACCCTATTATTAGCACTTTAAGTTTTAAAAATTGACCTCCATAATACCCTGATACTTTGGTTTTACATTCTTTTCACCGTGGTTGGCGGTTTCACACTTATCTTTTTGGATATCCAAGCTGCAAGTTGAGTTTCTTGTGTTCTGTATATAGCAAGTTTTTAAGAGTATGTAGTTTTTTGTTTTCTCTTGTCATACTCAGGAGGCAAATTTTATTTTGTTGTCTTCATTTTTCACAGAGCAACAGAGAGGCGAAGTAATGTGGCCAAGGTTTTATAGCAGGGAGTTATAAAGCTATAAAAATATGTAGTTTTGGTCACTGTTTTGTTTTTACAAGTAAACATTTTCTGTTTGAGCTTGGACCTAATTGATCATAAACAACGTATATTTATTCCTAAACATTTTCTTGGGTTTCGGATGATACATACTTTACAGAGATGTTTCTTCATACAAAAGGTGTATCAGAGAGGAGAATGGTTGCATTAATGAGAGCCAAGTTGCAATGCTTATATATATATTTTTTGATGCTTAATGACTGTAGAGTATTTGAAGAGAAAGGAAGCTCATTTTTAAAGAAACATCAGCATAGATGGAACTAAAATGGTAATGGAGAGAAGGCCAGAATTTCTGTGAATGGTACTTCTTCAAGAGCTGACTTCCAAGGCTGTCCTTCTTGAGTTAGTCCTAATACCAAATATTTTCTAAAATGTTAAATTTCCCCAGTTTGTAGCTCAAAGTTGTAGTCTCATAAATGCTTAAATCTTGCTGATCTTCACTGTGGAATGGGACAAGTTTACGTTGTTAGTTGAGGAATGACACGCACACTGAGAATTTTCCTGTAAGTGGTCCTTCTCTTCCCTGGAATGGTGTCCTTGAGCAGGGAATTTCCTACCTTCTCTAGCAGCCCAGCTCAGCTTCAGAAATCTTTTCCCTGTGTTAAGCTAAAACCTGACACCAGACCTGCTACCTGTGACGTTTGTTTTAAGTTTTATTTATTTATTTTGAGAGAGAGTGCACATGTGCGTAGGGGAGGGGGAGGGAGAGAGAGAAAGAGAGACAAACAGACACATACACACATAGAGAATCCCAGTGTGGGGCTCAAACTCATGAACCCTGAGCCAAAATCAAGAGCCAGAGGCTTAAATGACTGAGCCACCCAGGTGCCGCCCTCCCCCGGTCCCCTGGGACTTTTTTTTTTTTTTTAAACATTCATTTTTGAGAGACAGAGCATGAGTGGGGGAGGGGCAGAGAGAGAGGGAGACACAGAATCTGAAGCAGGCTCCAGGCTCTGAGCTGTCAGCCCAGAGCCCGACGCGGGGCTCGAACTCAGACTGAAAGATCGTGACCTGAGCCGAAGTCGGGCACTCAACCTACTGAGCCACCCAGGCGCCCCGCCCTGGGACTTTTTAGTTCTACCTCTTGCGATCATACAGAGTAAATACACACATAGAGACTTTTGTGGTTATTGGAACAGAGGCCCCCAGTCCTTCCTAATCCCTCATTTGATTGTTTTGGAGCCTGAGTTGGCAAACTTTTTTTAATGGCCCAGATAATACTTTAGGTTTTGAAGCTACTTAAGGTCTCTGTTGCATAATTTTCCTTTCCTTCTTCCAGCCCTCCTCCTTCCGTCCCTCTTTGTTTTTATTTTTTGCAACCCCTTGGAAATATAAAAAACACTCTTAGCTGACACAGGCTGGACTTGGCCCCACGGTAGCTTGCCAGTCCCTGGTTTTAGAGCCTCTTCTGTCTGGGATGATCTTCGGGGGGGCAGTGCTTTCTTCATGGTGCTGCCCCAGAAACATACAAAACTTCTGTAAGAACTGAGCAGCACAGAATAATGGATTTGCCACTATTTCAAGTACTTGAAGTGCCTGTTACTTGTTTGAGCTTGGTCACATTTTCAGCTTAAAATGACCTTATTAATGCTGACCAAGACTTCGGTTTATCTTTTTTATTAGACCACATTACATCTCCTAGGATATTTTTAGACTTTAGCCTAGGACCATCCGTATATACAGCTATCTATGTCTATTTTTTTAATAGTTTTTAATTTTTTTATTGAAGTGAGGTGGACACAGTGTTATATTCATCTCAGGTGCACAGCACAGGGTCTCAACAACTGTGTTATGCTACCTCACAGGTGTAGCTGCCATCTGTCACCATGCATGGCTACCATAGTACCATGGCTATAGTCCCTGTGCTGTACCTTTTGTTCCCGTGACTTATTCACTCCATTTTGCCCATCCCCCTACCTCCAACTCCCTGGCAGGCATCAGTTCTCTGTAATTATGACTCTGTTCATGGTTTTTGTTTGTTTATCCATTTGTTTTGGTCTTCCACATGTGTTTGTCTTTCCCTTATTTCACTTAGCCTAATACCCTCTAGGTCCATCCGTGTTGCTGCACATGACAAGATCTCATCTTTTTTTATGGCTGAGTAATATTCCACTGTGTGTGTGTATCACATGTTTATTCATCCATCTGTTGATGGACACAGGCTGCCTCCCTGTCTTGACTATTGTCAGTCATGCTGCAGTGAACATAGGAGTGCATATATCTTTTCAAATTAGTGTTTTTGTTTTCTTTGGGTGAATACCCAGTAGTGGAATTACTGGGTCTTAGGGTAGTTCTATTTTTAATTTCTTGAGGAGCCTCCATTCTGTTTTCCACAGTGGCTGCACCAATTTGCATTCCCACCAGGCACATGAGGGTTCATTCCCATTTCTCTGCACCCTCACCAACACTTGTTATTTCTTGTCTTTTTTATTCTAGCCATTCTGACAGATTAAGGTGATACCTCATTACGGTTTTGATTTACCTTTTCCTGACGAGTGTTGTGGTGCATCTTTTCATGTGTCTCTTGGCCATCTGGTTGTCTTTGGAAAAAATACCTGTTCGGGTCCTCTGCCCATTTTTAATCAAATTATTGGGGGTTTTTTGGTGTTGAATAAGTTATATATTTTTATATCCAGTTATATTAAACCTCATCTTAGCTGGAGCCATTTCTTGCTCTAGTCTGTGAGAGCTTTCTGGAACCTACTTTGTCCTCTAAAGTGTTAACGGAATTTCTCTCAGCTTTCTGTTACCTGAATGCTTGATAAACATACCTGGCTCTTCCACTCAAGTTACAAGTAAAAATTTGAATGAGACATAGCTGAGAACTAAATCTCAAATCACAAATACTTAGAAAATAAGGTAGTTTTAGTATGGGGCTATAGCTGGTCTCTACTCTTTTTTAAAAAAAATTATTTTGTAGACTTGTACTTGGATCTGCATTGTGGCATCCATCAGCTAGAGGTTTTGGTCATTACAAATGGCTTTCAGAGTGGGGCACCTGGGTGGCTCAGTCAGTCAAGCATCTGACTGCAGCCCAGGTCATGAGCTCCTGGTTTGTGAGTTGAAGTCCCGCATCAGGCTCAGAACCTGGAGCCTGCTTTGGATTCTGTGTCTCCTTTCTCTCTGTCCCTCCCTTGTTCATACTCTGTCTCTTGCTCTCTCTCAAAAATAAGTAAAAAATTTTTTCAGTGTTTATTTTTGAGACAGAGACAGAGCATGAACGGGGGAAGGTCAGAGAGAGAGGGAGACAGAGAATCCGAAGCAGTCTCCAGGCTCTGAGCTGTCAGCACAGAGCTGGACCCGGGGCTCGAACTCACAGACCGTGAGATCTTGACCTGAGCTGAAGTCGGACGCTCAACCGACTGAGCCACCCAGGCGCCCCAACATTAAAAAATTTTTTTAAAAAATGGCTTTCACAGTGCTTAGGCAGGAAATAAGTCTAATGGCCAGAAAAAACCTTAATTCGCATTCAAAAATAAAACAATTTTAAGTAATGATTTTTTTCAAGAAGTAGCTGATACATACATATATATATATTTTTTTTATTTCAGAAAGGATTTACACCAGCTGCCCCGGTTCATTCCAATAAAGAAGATCCAGCTACCCAGACAAATTTGGGATTTATCCATGCATTTGTCGCTGCCATATCAGTTATCATTGTATCTGAGCTGGGTGATAAGACATTTTTCATAGCCGCCATCATGGCCATGCGCTATAACCGTCTGACGGTGTTGGCTGGGGCCATGCTTGCCCTGGGCCTGATGACGTGCTTATCAGGTGAGTGTGCTCTTTCCTCCTAATGACTTCAGTGGATTAAGGAGACAGCGTGGTGTGGGCCGTTGAGTCATGGAATCATCCAGCTAGTTGGGTTGCAGTTTGGTTCCCAGAGTTCCAGAATTTAGTAAACAGAATATGGTATTGGTACATAAACTGCTGAAAACCATGTTGCGCTTTTAAAGTTAAATTTTCAGCTATTCACAGCCAAGACACATACTTCTCATTTCTTCACTAGTTTTTATCCTTGCTATGACTGTGTGTATCCTGGCTTTTTTTTCTTTTCAGTCCAGATAGGTTTATATCTGATACCTTAGAAATAGGACTCAAATACATTTCAGGGACATGTTGGAAACCAGTAGCTGTTGAAGGACATTTCATAGTTACTGTGTTTGGTTACGCTGTTCTTACCCCATTATAAAATGTTCTTAGACTCCCAGTTTGTGTTTCTATTCTACAGACTTCATTTTTTCAAAGAATTAGACCATGCGAAAGTAAACGTTAACACTAAATAATTAAACAGAGTGGAGTCTCTAAATCCAAAGCCACCCCAAGCTGGGAGGAAAGCCGGGAGCTTTCCCCTTATAGCCAGACTTGGTTTGGAGCCTGATGTCGGGTAGTGGCCTAATGATAAGTTCCTTAACCTGCGAGCTTCAGTGTCCGCGTCTGTAGAACAGAGAGGATAAAGCCTACTTCCCTTGTAGGGTTGTGGTCCGTGTTAAGTGAGATCCTATATTGCAGGTGCTCGGTCCTCTGCCCCTCAGCATCTCTCACATCTGAAGCTTAGTTCTTCATGTACAGAACAAGTTCTGTTTCTGGCTGCTTGGACACCCGTCCAAGTTAAAGTTGTTTTAAACCTAAAATAAAGGAGTATTTTACTGATTAAAATAATTTGACCACTTTACACATTTTAGAAGTTAAAGCATTAATCATATTTCATAATAAAAACAATTTTTTTCTTCCAAAGGAAATTCTGACACAGGAAATAGGGAGAGTGGAGAGAGTTGTTAAGTGGTGAAGTCATCGTTCAGAAGGAGTATGAATAGTATCGGAGGATTTTATTTTTTAAACTTCTCTCACTTCGAGGGTAGCTTGAAAGCTGGCCTCTCTGCCTGTTCCCTCCTCAGAACCCGGTGCCCTGGGCTCCCCGCCTCTTCTCTCTGATCACTTCCTTTTCCTCAGCTGAGGGCCACCTTGGTCTCCTGCCCTGCCCTCTCCTGTCTCCCCTTCCCGCTGGCCACGCTGCGCACCTGTGCTGTAGGCTGGTGCGGTGGTCTGCAGACTTTCCTTGTGTCTCATTTGGAAAAACTCTGCACACCTCTCATGTGGAAGTTATCTAAAGCGTGTCATCTTAAGTTCAAGGGGTTGCAGAGATCTAATTTCTAGTATATTTTTCCTCATAGAATTTTACCCTAATGATTATGACTTTCTCCTTGAAAATCTCTTATGGATCACACTGTCATTTATCTGCAGCAAAAATTTGCATATAAAGTGAATTTTAAAAGAGACTGATAGGGGCACCTGGGTGGCTCAGTAGGTTAAGCGTCCGACTTCGGCTCAGGTCACGATCTCATGGTCCGTGAGTTCGAGCCCGAGTCGGGCTCTGTGCTGACAGCTCGGGGCCTGGAGGCTGCTTCGGATTCTGTGTCTCCCTCTCTCTCTCTGCTCCTCCCCTGTTCATGCTCTGTCTCTCTCTGTCTCAAAAAATAAATAAACATTTAAAAAAAAATTAAAAAAAAAAGATACTGATAGTTTCCTTTGTTAAGTCTTCAAATGTTAATATTTTTTACAGATTATAGTTATTAATAGTACAGTTGATCAAAGCAAACTGTATCACAAACTACATACATTCGTATTACGTATATTTAGCTAATATATCACACTACCCAACACATTTTTTTAAAGTTTGGAAATGCATCTTTTAATGAAATGATAGAACTATTCTTTTTAAATTAGCTTATATGTCCTTGGATGAATATTTCTGTTGATAGAATTAAGCAGGGTGTCGCCTCAGTTCTGATCTTTATTTTTTTAAAGCTTATTCCTTTATTTTGAGAGAGAGAGAGAGAGAGAGAGAGAGTGAGCACAAGTGGGGAGGGGCAGACAGAGAGGGAGAGAATGTGTTCTATCAGCACAGAGCCCGAGATGGGGCTTGATCTCACGAACTCATGAGATTATGATCTGAACTGAAATCAAGAGTCATACGCTTAACCAAATGAGCCACCCAGGCACCCCTATTTTTTTTTAATGTTTATTTACTTTTGAGAGAGAGCTCAAGAAGGGGAAGGGCAGAGAGGGAGGGAGACACAGAATCCGAAGCAGACTCCAGGCTCTGAGCTGTCAGCACAGAGCTGGACACGGGGCTCAAACCCATGAACTATGACGTCATGACCTGAGCCAAAGTTGGATGCTTAACCGACTGAGCCACCCAGGTGCCCCTACATGTTAGTCTTTTACTTATGAGTACTTTGTTTAACTGGCTATATTTAGAAATAATGGAGAAAATCGAATATTGTTCATTTGTGTGTACTTTCGCCAATAAAGGATTTTATTTAAAAATTGTATCACATCACATATTTTAAGTATATTTTTGCCAGAACCTTGGAGCTGCAGATATAGCTCATTCAGTTTATGGAAAATGTCTGCCACATTACCTGATTGCTGTAGCAGTTCTAGTAGGTCCATAGTAAATCATCTAATCCTGTGACTATCGGTCACAAAGCATTTGACTTGGTTTTTGAATTTAAATGAACATGATGGGGCGCCTGGGTGGCTCAGTCGGTTGAGCGTCCGACTTCAGCTCAGGTCATGATCTCGCAGTTTGTGAGTTCGAGCCCCACGTCGGGCTCTGTGCTGACAGCTCAGAGCCTGGAGCCTGCTTCAGATTCTGTCTCTCCCTCTCTCTATGCTCCTCCCCGGCTCACACCCTGTCTCTCTCTCAAGAATAAATAAAGAAAAAAAA